GGGAGCCCGATGTGGGACTCGATCCCGGGACTCCAGGATCATGACCTGAGCCGAAGGCAGTCGCTTAACCAACTGAGCCACCCAGGCGCCCCATCCAAATCTATCTTAATACACATTTCTGACTACCTTTTGTATATAGGATTAAAATGGATTCAACTTTTAAATAAGGAAAGTGTGATTTTTACAGATGAATATGTACATTTTTAATAACACCAAGATATCATTTCAAATGAAAATAGCTATGTAGAAAATCTGATGAACTGGATCATTTATATCCTTCTAAGAGAATATAATGCAATAATATAAAAATACTATACATTATACACTCCATTAACTCTGAGAACCATAAATACCACTAAATTTTTAAAACATGAGAAGCTATTAAAAGGTGCAAATGAAACACAAAATATACCATTTGAATTAACTTACTATATTTTATCACCCAAAATAATTTAACTAATGGGAATTTTTTCAACCAAAAAACTCCATGTCAAAGAAAAAGTCATTAAACAAATAAAGTTTCTGATAATATCAGAAAGTCTATGCAAGTTGTTTTTCATTGTGGACAAAGTATCAATAAGAGTGCTTAAAACTGCACTTCTCAAACGAAGAATGAATTAGAAAACTCAAGGTGTTTTTTAGGGTATGAAAGCAAGAACCTTGGGTATTTTCGCTCCCCCTACTTCAGCCGCCTAAAATATTGTCTGTCACTCACTGTATTTGAAATATTTTTGAAGAATAAGTGAATGAGATAGGAGAACAACTCAGATAATGACAGTTGTAGGTTGACAGACTCCAATCCCAGAGATGATCCTAATCCTACTCTTTATAGATGAGGACACTGATGTTCCGAAATCAGTTTCTATCCAAAGTCAGAGTTTTCTGCCCAAACCATTTAGTTGATTTGGGAGGGGTTTTTTTGTTTTTGTTTTTTAAGATTTCATTTGTTTATTTGAGAGAGAGAGAGAGAGAGATCACAATTGGGGGGGCGGGGCAGAGGGAGAGGGAGAAGCAGGCTCCTGGCCGAACAGGGAGCCTGATACGGGGCTTGATCCCAGGACCCTGGGATCATGACGTGAGCTGAAGGCAGAAGCTTAACCAACTGAGCCACCCAGGTGCCCCTGATTTGGGAGGTTTTACAGTCAACTTTTATTGCTTTGTGGATAGATTTGAGACTATTCACTGTGAAATTTTAATCCTTGGCTGGATCTACTTTGTCAGTCAGCACATACCGAACTGCAACCTTCCACTGCGTGAGATGGTGGGTACTCAGAGAAGGCCAAGTGAAGTCAATAAAAATATAACCTGAGAAGTCAATTTTGTAACAAAATACAGTTAACTCTGAAATCAAAGGAAAGTTTCTTTTAGGTTGTTCATTATTTTGAATTAAGACTGTACTTCAACCTCTCAATTTCTGTGATAATGGAAAATTACTAAGTCAGGACTAGATTTATGAACTGTTTCTTACCTTACTTTTTGACTATATGATCTTTAAAAGGCTACTATGTACCCAGATTATGGTTTCTAAATACTCTTTCCTGCTAAAAGGAATCAGATCTCTTTACAGAGATGCCTGATTCTCACCCTGGGCCAGGAAATGTACAGGATAATCCCAGAACATGTTCTCCTACCAGAAATCAAAGATTACTAGGGTTGTATCAAAAGGACTCAGGAGCCAAGTTGAAGAGGCTTCCAGTAGCCAAAGATGGGACCATCTGATGTCAGTAACAATGGTAATGGATTGATGCAGGAAATGTCTTTAAATCTATAAATTCATAATGATATTTAAAAATGAACTCATTTGTCACTTTTTAAGGATTCTAAGGGAACTACCTCACTATTTTGGTAACTAGTTAAAGTCTTTATTCTGTCTTCCCTATAAGAATTGTACCTCAACCAAATAGCTGATAAAGTAGAAGTTTCCCAGCTAATAAATAAAGAATATTAAAATATCACCAGTTTGCAATCCCTAATGAAATAAAGGATCTAAACAATGCTCATCTGTGGATGTTAATATGAATAGAAGACTCAGACATATTAAATGCCTCCCAATATGGGATGCCTGGGTGGTTTAATTGGTTAAGCCTCAGACTCTTGGTGTCAGCTCAGGTCATGATCTTATGGTGGTGAGATCAAGCCCCACGTCAGCCTCCACACTCAGTGCGGAGTCTGCTTCAGATTCTCTCTCCCTCCTCCAACTCATGCCCTCTCTCTCTTAAAAAAAAAAAAAAAATCTTTAAATGCCTCCCAATAAAAGTACAAAATATTTCCTAAGACATATTGTTACTAACCAACCAACCAACCTAAATCTGAGTCAAAAATAGAAGGGAAAAGGAAAAAGACAACTCAAAGATGCAAGCAACAAAATCCAGACTATGGAAAAACTCTGTAGGATAAATGACCCAATTTCTTCAATAAATTGTGTGTGTGAGAGTGTGTGGATGTGTATATGTGTGTCTGTGTGAGAGAGAGAGTGCTAGAGCATTCCAACAGATTTAGAGATTTAAATGACCAAATCAATTCACTGCAATATATAACCCTATTTCAAAATCCTGATTCAAAAATGAATTTAAAAATTACAAGACTGGGAAATTTGAACACTGAAATTTTGATGATAGATTGACTATATATATGACTATATATTTTTCTAAAGTATGATAATTGTTATATTTACAAGTTAAATCATACAGTCTCCAAGATTTGCTTCAAAATAATTCTATGGTGGGGGCAATGTGTGAAGGCAAAGATAATTCTACCTTTCTCTTTATAGATTATCTTTAAATTTTTCCCCTCAAAAATTGAAAATAAAATACAAGTACAAAAAACTAAGTGCCTCCTTTCCTACCTATAACACAGAGATAACATTATTTCACTCACAGCTTCCTCATAAACATGTTGTAAGAATAAATGAGTTCTTTGAAAGGTGTTTGGTCTAAAGTCCTGTTAATCAGGAACAAAAACAAAATGTTGCTGGTCAAAAACAACCTTTAGACCTTATATATACTCTAATGACAAAGAAAGTATACCTTCACAATATGCAGCAAGGAATGCTTGAAATATGTAAACCATAACCATAAATTAAACCAAGCATTAGGAAGGATTAGTATTAGTGTGATATAATTATTTTCAATTTATGCCAATTAAATCAGATGTAAATTCCTAAAGGAAGAGGTTTGTTTAAATAATTATTTTTGCTATATTTAATAAAGGACAATCTAAATCATTGGTAGGATTGAGACATTAAAGGACTAACATAATCAGAAAAAAAATCCCATGTGCTTCATAATAATCTGCTTGCTAGGGTCCATGACAAACATAATGGTTAAAAGCAATTTCAAGACAATTTAACAAAGGCCTATAACACCAAGTAGTGATACTGATTTGTTTAGTACAACTTTTATTATTCATTAAATTGAAGTGATATGTAGTATTTAAATCAAGAAAAGACTTTTTTTTTTTTTTTAAAGATTTTATTTATTTATTTGAGACAGAGAGAATGAGAGACA